GGGTACTGATGGGATTGGATTTTAAGGGACTTGGTAAGTGGGATGGAGTATAAGACTGGATAAGCAAGAATTCATAGATGCGGGGACTTTTTAGGGGGAGACAGGATTTAACACTCAAGCAAGAACCCCAGTGGACGGAGGAAATTTTATGTTAGGTTCTATATTATAACTCAGGAGACAGGAATGTTCAATGCTCAGTGAAGTGGAAGTGCCTGAGTTCTGTACAGTTGCAATACCCACTGTCCCGCAATTCAGTTTGATACGCTTAACTACCGAAAGTTAGCATAGACCCCACAGGTTAAGGGGCATAGTTCCGCAGGACTTCCCCCACTTCAAAACACACCCAACTCCCCAGTCCCCAGGCTACTTGCTCTTCTGTCTGACTTGGCTACAATTTGGGGATTCCCATGATCCTCCTTCAGGTTTGATAATTCATTATAATGACTCAGGAAACTGCTTTATTGAGGATTACTGATTTATTTATAAAGAATATGAAGAGACACCGAATGAAGATGTACATAGGGCAGAAAGATCTGGGCAAGGTCTACATGCCTTCCCCAAGCATGTCAGCCTCTCAGTTAATAGATGTGTTCATCAACCAGGAAGCTCTGTTATAGTCTCATTTCAGAGGGTTTTTTTGTATGTTTGTTTGTTCATTTTTTAATGGAGTTTCATTACACAAGCAAAATTGATTAAGTCACTGGTCATTTGGCAACTTGATTTCCAGTCTCCCTTGACAGTTGTGGGAGGCAAGAATTCTTTTTAATTTGGCATAATGATTAAAAATAAGTATCAAATAATGTAGAGGTAAACACTGCTAAGAGTATAATGAAAAGGAAGAATAAGGGGGGGAACTTTGGAGCTGTAATGAAAATTACAATATATTTTATAAAGAAGAGTACTGGTGCAAGAAGCAAACCCAATAGAAAACATACCAGAGAATTTAATGTTCAATAAAGTGGTGTTTTAAACTACGTGAGAAACAGTGGTTTAGGACAAGTGAATAACTTTTTTTTAAGTTCTCAAGTGATAAGCCATGCTCCAAAATAATCTTAGATTGAGTAAAGATTTAATTGGGGAGAAATAAAGCAAAAATAAAAATAAAACATAAATATAAGGTTGGGCCAAAGGGGAAGGAAAAGATGCTTGCAGAAATGTGTTTACATTTCATCTGGAGAATATGTATTCTTTTCTCCTAAGTCTGCAGTTAATAATATACATTGCCATAATCTCTGAAACCAAGAACACCACTTTCTGAATCCACTAAGTTCCTTGGAGACCTCCTGGGGCCCAGAGGGATGTAGAAGGAAAACTAACGCATAAGGAGGTTTCTAATTTTTCAGGGGAGTTTTCTGGGGAAGAGGTTCTCAGCATCCTGAAGTTTCTTGGCACTCCAACCTCAGACGTACACAAAGACCGTTTTTCCATATTTATTAGCTTAACTTTCATAAATTTCCCGAAATACTGAGCTAACTCTCACCACCTTCACCAGGAGCCAACGCTGCTCACCAGCGAAACGCTCTGATTCGTGACGTATGGGTCCCGCACATGCGCTCTCCGCACCTTTGCACGGGTGCACTGAACGCAAGCGCAGTGACGCAGTCTCGGTGAGGCGCACGCGCACGTGCGTTGAGCGGCTTTGCCAGCCGACAGTTAGTCTCAGCTGAAAGATTCGAAACCGCCGATCCGAGTTTGGCGGTTGTGGCCAGACCCGGTTGGCTTATCTCATAGCACTGGCGGAAGGCAGCGCCGGAGCTGAGGGTGTCTCTGGAAGCCCGTTGGCTCCGCAATGAAGAAGATTTTTGGTTTCGGGGGTAGGCAGAGCGACTCCCCTTGGGGCCCCTCCAGCAGCCAGCGGAGGGACAGCAGGGGCGGCCTGCGGAAGGACGGCAAGAGAGCCGACTCCCCGCCCGGGTACCACATTGCAGACAAAGATCTTGGGAAGATACACAAGGCTGCCAACTTGGGCAAAGTAGCCAAAGTGCAGCAGGTTCTATTGCTCGGAAAAAATGACTTAAATGATAGAGACAAGATGAACAGGTAACAGGGACTGGGAGGCCAGGGCGGCTCGGGAGGAGGTGGGCAGACCCGGAAAGTGCGCACCTTCCCTGGCTCCCCTGGGGAGCCAAGCCTCCTGGTGCGAGGCTCCACTGCACCTGGGTCTCGGAAGCCTGATGACAGTCAGGCGCCCAGGCCCACTTTATAAGCAGCAGAGACTAAAACTATAGCTGGTTTCAGACCCACTCGTAATTCCCCTTATACAGCATTTGACTGACAGTTTTTCAGTGACTTAGCTAAACATCAATAATAGAAAAACGAAATGAGGTATGGACAGCATTTTATTTTTAATGTACACATTTCATACCGTAATGTTTGATAGTACAGAAAGGTGCATAATGGTATAAAAGTGACTAACAAAAAGTAGTAGTGCATAACAGTGCATAATACATAATAAAAATAAAAATTTTATGTGATCGATCAACTTATACAAATTCTTTGGGTAAAATCCAGTGTCCATTTTATATTGGTGCACATCTATGTACATAGATGTTATTTCCTGATGGACCATGGAAAAGACTTTTGAAGTGGGAAAATATTCTTGAACAGGAAGATTCATTTTCTCAAAATGTGTTCTCTTCTTACATTTGTTAATTTTACATAAGCCGAATAAAAATATGTTTTTAAAAATTAGGGGTTTCACATGCTGGCCCTAATTTATCACTGCAATGATATTTAGAAAAATTATGTATACTAGACAAAGATTTGCCCTTCTAGATATCAAAATGTGCTGTTAATTTTCACAAAGTATTCCATTAGTAACAGCTGAAAAGGCAAATAAATGTATGGAACAGAATGGAAAATGACCAAGCTCCCAAACATATATAAGTCTTCAGAGCTTGATTCTGGTGACAATTCATATTAGTAGGAAAAGGTGAGTTTTTCATAAATGGTGGAGAAATACCTATCTGAAGAAAACTAGCTAGATTAGTATTCCACAAAAATAAGTTCCAGAAGGAATTTGTATTAGCAGTGAATTTTTCTTTTCCTTTTTGAAAAATCTGTGAGTTCTACAATGACAATGTATAGATGTAGTAAAAGTTAAGTGCTGCCAATTATAGTTGTCAGACATTATGAATTATAAATTGAATTGCAATGTCAGAGATGTTAAAATGTGAGAAAATGAGAATCTTAAAGTCATTATGATACAGTGTTCTGTCTAATCCTTAAAACATTTGCAAAGTAGGTGTAATTATATCATTTTACTCAATTGAAATAATTATCTTTGTAAAGTAGTAGTAATAGTAATAATTATAATAATATAACAATTGCTGACCTGTTTGTGCTAGGAACTGTTTTAAAACTTAGCATAGATTCTCATTTAAGCAAAGCAGTAGTGTCCTGTGAGATAACTTACTTTTTTCCCCATTTTGTTGATGAGGAAATTGAGGCACAGAAAGACTTAGGATCGCTAAAGTAGGATTCAAACCAAGGTGAGCTGAATCCCAAGGTCATGCTCTTTTATTCAAATAGACTGCTCTTTCATTAATGTGGTGAATACTAAGGCTAATAAATATTGTACCTTCTCCAGGAAAAAATAAATACTTGTTTACTTAATACATGCTATTTAATATTTACAATTGCATGAATAATTGCAATGTTTTGAAACAGTGCCATATAATTTCCTAAAAAGTGTTCACTCTTTCCTAGGACTGCTCTCCATTTAGCCTGTGCTAATGGCCATGCAGAGGTAGTAACTCTCCTAGTAGAAAGAAAATGCCAGCTTAACCTATATGATAATGAAAACAGGACAGCTCTTATTAAGGTATGTAGGAGCCATCTATGCCAGCCTGAGATGGATTTTATGTAATAGCTGAAAAGAGAGATAAATTCATCTCATTTAAATATAACTAATTGCAAAATCTATGAAGTGTTCAGATTGAAATCCTAGAATTTACAGTCTGTTTCTTGGTATACTACTGACAGGCCGTGCAATGCCAGCAGGAGGAATGTGCAACTATTCTTCTAGAACATGGTGCCAATCCAAATCTTACAGACATCGATGGCAACACTGCTCTCCACTATGCTGCCATTGGTCAGAATTTATCAATAGCTGAAAAGCTGCTTTCACACAACGCAAGCATTGAGGCAAGAAACAAGGTACAGATTACCCCATTTTATTTATAAATATTTGAAATAATGTTTTCAATATTTTTAGTCGCCATAAATATATAAAATCCTCTTTTACACCCCCCCCCCCCCACACACAGACATATACTGAATACTATACATCAGGCTCTGTCACCATGGAAACAATTCCAAATCCAAGTCAGAGAGGGCTAGAGAAACGTGGTGCCCATATAGAGGGCAAAACTCTCTTGGCCACTGTTCCACGCCAGAAGGGAGACCTTCCTGTGAGTGTGTGGGAGTGGGTGGTGGGCTCAGAGCCCACAAAAGACTGAAGGCTGAGAGGGTGTGAGGTGATGGTGGAGACTGGAGGTTCTACAGGGCCTTAGGAAATGGGTGCTGCTGGGGATGGGTCTGATGAGAAATAGAGAGCTGGCAGCAGGCCAGAGGAGCTGGGTGAGTACATGTGGGAGGGGAAACAGCAGACCACAGGCTCTGGGCACTCTAGGACCCCAGAGCTCTTGAAGGTCAGTGTGATGGGCCAGGTTACGTTGATATCAGCGGGGCATTCACTTGTGCTGGCAGCCACTCTGCCAGCCATGTACCACCTTATGGTTTCTCACATCAGAGAGTAGCTCCTGCTCAGCCTTGTGTAGCTGGTCGCAGCATTATAGCTGTACGTGGGGAGCAGGTGATGGTGGGGATTGTGAAGCTGGTCTGTCTGCTTTAGGACATACATTAATTCCCATGGTGCAGCCTGCAGGAGCATACTTGGTTGACAGAATGTCAATTTTACATATTTGGAAACTCAAGCATTTCCTGACTGAAAATATTTTGAAATAACTTGTCTAAGATTGCACTTTAAATAATGACTAAAGAAGCATTAGAGAGTACAACTTTCTTGTATGCATTTATGGCAAATATTTGTGAAAACACCAAATTTGTTAAAGTAAAGCTTTCAAGTATTTTTGTCCCACCCAAGTTTTTTTTCTAATTAGTGTAAAAAAACAAGAAAGCCAAATTCCTTGGAAATAGGCTTTATCTGAAACTCAAAACAAATGCATTTATAATATAAAATTGTGGCTGCTGTTGACAAGTTCCTATTTCATAAAAGAGTGAAAAGATGAGTGAAAAGATGAGTACCAAAGTTACTCATCTTTCATTGGCTAAAGCTTAAGAGGGAAAAAGGAAAAGGAGCGAGTAATGAAAAATATGCAGGCCAGTTTTGAAATTTGGCAAATGAAAGGGAATAAAAAGAAGTTTTTATGTTGTTTTTTTTTTCCTTCCTTGTTTTTACATGTTTAGGCAAGATCTCTCCAGCTTTGGGGGATAATAATTTTTAGTTTGGGAAAGAGGATGAGTGAGTTAGAAACTTGCTTACAGATTGATTTTAGGAGGACTCTGAGGAACCAAACCATCAGTGAACAGCTGGTGATGAAATAGGAAATGAGGGAAGAACTGATAGCCTATTCTAACAGAAACAGCCAGGTAGATAAGAGTCTAAAGTGCCTTCAAATCTAGAATGTCTTGATGGGAAGGGAGGAGTTTTTAAATAATGAAATCAAATTACATTTAGTATACTTACTAGTCCCTGTCCTACCCCTGCCCTGGAAAATTAGATGCTGTTTTGCTAAGTGACTCATTTCTTATGCTTATGCTTTCTTTTTTTTTTTCTTTTGACCAAATCCAAATAGAGGGATTTGGCCTAAGTATGTGAGATATGAGACTGAAGTGATTGTCCAGTTTGCCAGTTCTCAGCTAGAATTGTGCTGGTGAATCAGAATTGCCTGGGAAACTTTAAACAAAACTTAAGCTTAGACTGTCCCCTGAAGATTTTGACTAAGTCTAATAAGGCCTGGATGTATATGTTTAGAAATATTTCCTTGGGATACTGATACAGCTCTTGTGTAAGAAATACTGAATGGATAATTGTAATATCTAAATTTGAAGATCTCAAAAACTTAAGAAATTTCTAGAAGAATTGAGGTTTGATAGGCACTACTTCCTTCAGCTCTCTCCTTTCCAATTATGTTAGCCTGACTTCCTTCTGGCTCTACCTATGTGACCGAGAAATTGAAAAAGAGTATTATTGGTCATATATTTTGGCTTAAGGAATAACACCTTTTCTCCTTCCAATCATCAGTCATTCACTGGCACTTAGAGTGTCTTTAGAAATTGGCTTCTGGGTAGTCTTCTTAAGTAGGGGCAGACCCTTGGAGAATTTTGCACCTTTTGTTATTCAGGTCGTTAGGCCAACAAATTTGTTATTACAAGCACGGCTTTCTGATTGCAATAGTAATAAATCATGGATCTTCTTTTTAGCTGAAGCAGTGTGATAGACTGTTTCAGTATTTTTTAAATTTGTAGAGCTCTGGCATAGTTAGAATGGCAGTTTTAAACATTGAAATCCATGTAGTTAGTGACAATACATGGGAAAAGTTTTAATAACTTTGTTCCAGCAGTCCTGTGAACTAGTCACCCATTTGATTAATAGTCTCGGAGAATTAAATACAAATAGATTGTAGCTATTGCATCAAAAAGAATTAAATACCTAGGAATAAACCTAACCATGGAAGTGAAAAACCTATATTCTGAAAACTATAAGACATTCATGAAAGAAATTGAAGAAGACACAAAAAGTGGAAATCTATACTGTGCTCATGGATAGGAAGGATTAATATTGTCAAAATGATCCTCCTACCCAAAGCAATTTACAGGTTCAATGCAATCCTTATCAGAATTCCAACAGCATTTTGAACTGGAATAAATAGTTGTAATATTCATATGGAACCACAAAAGATCCTGAATAGCCAAAGCAATCCTGAGAAAGAAGAACAAAATGGGGGGGGATTGTGCTCCCTGACTTCAAGCTGTATTACAAAGCTACAGTAATCAAAGTAATATAGTACTGGCACAAGAACAGACCATAGATCAATGGAACAGAAAAGAGAGAGAGCCCAGATATTTGCCCATGCATATATGATCAATTAATATACAATAAAGGAGCCGTATCATATAATGGGGAGAATATAGCCTCTTCAATAATTAGTGGTGGGAAAACTGGACAGCTACGTGGAAGAGAATGAAAGTGGATTACTGACTAACTCCATATCCCCAAAAGTGAATTCAAAATGGATCAAAGACCTGAATGTGAGACTGGAAATCATAAAGCTCAGAAGAAAACAGGCAGAAATCTCTTGAACATAAATATGAGCAGTTTTTTTCCTGGATACATCTCCTCAGACGAGGAAAACAAAATAAAAAATGAACAAGTGTTACTACATCAAACTAAAAAGCTTCTGAACAGCAAATGAAACCATGAGCAAAACCAAAAGGCATCTTACAGTATGGGAGAATATATTTGTAAATGATTTATCTGAAGAGGAGTTAACATCCAAAATATATAAGGAGCTCATATGCCTTAACACCAAAAAACCCCAAATAGCCTTATTAAAAAATGGGCAGAGAACCTGAACCAAAATTCTTCCTAAGTACAGATGGCCAACAGGCATATGAAAAGATGCTCCACATTGCTAGTTATCATGGAAATGCAAATAAAAACCACAGTGAGATATCACCCCACATGAGTTAGAATGGCCACTATCCAAAAGACAAGAAATAACAAGTGTTGGCAAGGATGCACAGAAAGGGAAACCCCATACTGTTGGTGGGAATGTAAATTAGTTCAACCACTGTGGAAAGCACATGGAGGTTCCTCAAAAAACTAAAAATAGAAATGCTTTTTGACCCAGTAATTCCACTTCTAGAAATTTACCTGAAGAAAACAAAATACCTGATTTGAAAAGATACATATACCCCTCTGTTTATTGCAGCACTATTTACAATAGCCAAGATATGGAAGCAACCTAAGTGACAATAGATGAATGGATAAAGAAGATGTGGTACATATACACAATGGAATATTATTTAGCCATAGGAAGAAAATAAATCCTAACCATTTGTAACAACACAGATGGAGCTAGAGGGTATTATGCTCAGTGAAATAAGCCAGGTGGAGAAAGACAAATACCATATGATTTCACTTATTTGTGGAATATAAAAACAAAGCAAAACAGAAGGAACAAATAGCAGTAGACTCACAGACCTAGAAGGGACTTGTGGTTATCATGGGGGGGATGGTTGGGGTGGGTGGGAGGGGAGGTTGAGACTGATAAACAGGCACAAAATTTCTCAATCATAGTGTATGCTGATCACAGCAATAATAGTACAGCATGGAGAATACAGCCAATGCTTCTGTAACATCTTTGCATGCTGACAGATAGTAGCTGTGCTGGTGGGGGTGCAGATTTGCTAATGTGGGTAACTTGAGCCACTGTGTTGTATACTTGAAGATAAGACTATATTCATTAAGAAAAATCCTTGGAGTGGGTATTAGGAAGCTTAATAGCAATTTTTATTTACATGTTGGGGTCCAATATTTTGATAAACCATATGATACTTAAGAAATATTTTACATACAAATATTTGCTTTATATACAACCCTTTGGAAATATAACATGTAAAAACACAGGTGGGCTATAGACTAATTGTGACCCTTGGATATGTTTAGTTTGCCTCCATAAAGTGAGTCAATATTTAAAATATAGGAGATTCATGCAGAAATCTGGGTTTCAGGCATCTCTTAATCATATCTGGAACACTGAGCCCACCCCACTGTTGGGTGTGCTGTGTAGAGGCTGCCCCTTTTCTTTACTTTCTTGGGTCACCTTTGCCTCTGCACAGTTAGGTCACAGTTCCTATTTTATAGTATATTTTGATAAAATTTTCAAGATTTTCAAGATAGTCTATATTAATTTATAATGTAGATTTCATATTTTATATTAACCTCAGGAACAGGATTGAATTTTTCAGTTGGAATTTATAGCTGGTTTTTTAAAAAGCTTTTTATATGCTATAAGAAATCATATTCCCACTGGAATGTCACTAAGCCTGATGAAGTTAATCTTGGTTATAGTTGGCTAAGTTATACATATTGCAGACAGTTGTATCTTTCTCCTAAGCATTGTTCCTTAACAGTACAACAGATTTAGTAACTTCCATTGTGCTAAAAATAATCCATATAGATCAATATTAGAAGTTTTATTGATAAGTCATTATATTTTTATTTTTGATTCATATTTTGCCTGGAATATAATTTTAAGTAGCAATTAAAATGGAAACCAGAATAAAAACAGATTTTTTTTAAAGTTGTTATGCAGGGTCCCAGGACTATCTTAACAACTGAGAATAAAATTTCATAGTGAGCTTACTAACAGCTAAGATAAAACTATCTTCTTACAGTAGGACAAAACCCATGGACCATGAACCATAGTAATAAGCAGTCAAATTTCATTTGAAGCCCGTCTCTTTTAATTCAGAGCCCATTTGCTAGTGACCCATTTGGAGCAGGAGTGCCTCACATTGACTTCAGGGAACCTGATATCATTGATAGAAGAGAATCAAGCAAGTTTGTATAACTTAAAGAAAACCTTCACTTTACTGGCAAGCTGTCAAAACTGTATCCCTGAAACTAATTCCTCAGCTGTTAATGTTTACCACAAAAAAGTATTGGTCAAAGTTAAACAGATTTCTTTAATACTAGACATACAATGCACAGCTTTATAATATTTCTCGAACAGATCATGGAATCTTATCATTGGGGCACAGTCATTAACTTTTGGTAAAGTACATATTCTTTGAATAATTATTGTAAGGAACACTAGAGAGAATCACTTAGGTTATTAATTCAGTAAAAATACTTAAAGCAGTTAATACTATGTTTTAAAGCTTGGAAGTAAAGAGATTAAGAAATAGCCCCTGTTCTCAAGAAGCTCTTGGTTTAGATGAGGAGCACTAAGGTCAGTATAGTACACCATGATCAACACTGTGATGGAAGCAAAGACTCGTTGGAACACTTCAATGTTTGAAGTGAATTTTTGAGAATGACTTGGCCGGTTATCTATCAAAGAGGTAGAGCAGGGGCGCTTCCAGAGAAAGCGGAAGATGAAAGCTCTGAGGGCTGAGAAGGAAGGGGCTACTTTTTATTTACTCCTATATTTTCTGTTTAAGGGCAGAGTGCCTTTTGTAAGTTTCTGGTTCATTTTAGAAATACGTAATTTTGTAAATTGTTTTTGCTGTTCTGCAGGATGACCTTACACCACTCTTACTTGCTGTAAGTGAAAACAAACAGCAAATGGTAGAATTTTTAGCAAAGAAAGAAGCAAGTATATGTGCAGCTGATATGATGAAAAGGTACAGTAGTGTTTTCTTTAAACCTTATATTGCTCTAGAGTGGTGAAAACCACTCAAGTCAGAAAGATTAAAATAGGATTAATTGATAATTACATAGTGAAAAATATCAACACATCATTAGTTAGTAGAAAAGCAGTTATTCGGATGGGGCAACAGTATATATAGCAGAATTCCTTTACAATATTGACTTGCAGTCTTGATTTTTTTTGCCCATATGATTTACTATTAGCTAAAGGGGGTGTCATATCAGTTTTCTAAAGTATAGACTCTTTAAAAACACAATTTTTGAATTTCTTTACCCTTTTATGGTGTTTTTTAACCTCTATATTTTTCCTTAAAAGATGCTTGTTAAACATAAATAGGAATTGATTTTATCTTGGATGTCTCTCTGCTTTAAGTTGCTTTTTTTAGAGTACTGATATTAGGTTGTTCCTGTGACTATTAATTATTACCATATACTATGGTCTTATCAGTTTTTGTCCTTTTTCATTTCTAGTGTATTTTGTTGTTTTTATTTTTCATTGGTATGGTAGAGGAAGCAAGGTAGCTTTAACTGAATAAACTTTCTGTTTACTGAAGTCATAGGTGGGTGATAAAGAGAAAAGAGATTGGCTTTAGATTCTCACAAGATTGAGTTTAATTCCTAGCTTTCCTACTTACCAGGTTGTTGACTTTGGGAACATTACTTATCAGCACCCGTCTGTTTCTTGATATGAAAAGGCAGATAATAATATATCCTTCAAGGGTGGTTGTATATAATTAAGATTGTAGATATAGCACTTAATTTAGTGCCTAGAACATACTTAGTATCATTAACTACGAGTATTACTGTTATTACTAATATTACTGTTTTAAGCATGCAAACGGCTTTTATCTGCTCTCTAGCTGACTTTGAAGTATAATATATCAGATCAAGGAAGAAATGGGGAATTCATTTAAATCTTCACCTACTTCAGATAAATGACCTCATCATAGTTTCTCGTCTGTCAAAAGACTTTAAATTAGCAACTTCTACTACTCAATACCCAAGTTAGACAAAAGGCTTCCTTTTTGCCGTGGAGGTAATTTACAAAGAAGAGCCCCTGAACATGTGAATGGTCAATTCTACACAGACAGGCAAGATATTAACTTGGTAAAGCATATCAAATTAGCTGTTTAAATAACTTAAGTTCCTAAGGGTGAAGTTAATCTTTCTGTTAATTTAGCACAGCCTTCATGCTTGCTGTAAATTATGAATCAACAAATACAGTCAGGCTTCTTCTTCAGCAAGGTATTGATTCTTTTCTCAAGGTATCTACGGATGGGCTGCAGAAAAATATGCTCGTGTTACTAGTTGTAATGTGTAAGTTCTTACATTAAAATGCTAGCTACTGCTCTACTGAGGTTTAAAATAATTTAACTGTTACTTGATATGTAACAGGTGAGATTTCATAGTTTGGTTCAGGTAATTTTGGAATAGCAATGAGTTAGTCCACGTCATTAGCCAGAAATCCAGCAAAAAGCTAGACTAGAAATAGCACTGGTGCTGGGTTCTTTATCACAGGGCTTTTAAGACCTAACATTATCCATTTCATTCCAGGTGTAACCTCTAGGCATGGGGCACAAATAATGTCTCATCTCTGATTTTTCTAATGTTATTTGGGTCTGGACGTCTTCAGTATAGCAGAAAATCCTGTACTTACCCCTGGGGACTATCTCCTATATGCTCACCCTTGAATTTTCCAAGAACCTAAGAGGTTCCCTAAGACCAAAGAGAGAGCCCTCTTTCATAAGACATTTGGAGGCAGGGAAAAGGACATTCTAATCATTCTGTTAATGCTGAATGCTGCAGTGTTGCTATTGAAATGGTCTTTCAGGCCATCCTGATTGACCTTTGCTCCAAGGATGCCCTTGCTGTTCTAGATTACTCAGTCTTCATGGTGATCTACACTTAGACTGAAAAAGCTACACCTTTTCTCAGTTCACATATACATGTTTGTATGCTCAGCCACTAGTCTAAAGTACCAGCACCCTGTCCTGGCAGCTGGGCCTGCTAGCTTCAGCCACACACTATTCCCCTGACCCTCAAAAACTCATGGAGGGCCCACATACTAACCCAGAGCTTCATCCTAGCTGAAGAAATTGTTTGCCTTTTGTGTGTGCAAATATTATTTGGGACCATTAGTTGCAGATATTAGCAGAGAGGTTCAAATAATGCTGCAGGAAGAGATCAGACTTGCCTTTCTCCTTTGGTGATCTGTTTGAGTAGATAGAGAAGGAATAGTAGTAGTCAGAGCCAAGTTTTGATTTCTAGTAGTTTTCTGACTTTGGTGTGATTAGCTACAATGATAGGGGACAATTTTGTTATTTAATTTAATGAGGGAATATATCTATAAATAAATTTAGTTATGAATTATACAGTAGCTGAGATGCCTGGAATTGCCACAAAGGAAGAACAGCTGATAACCAAAAATAATGACATTTTCTGATCATTGCAACTAATTGGTTAGAACCTATGAAAATGTGCGTTAGATTTTATTTGGGATTCCAAAATAGTTTCAAGTTCAAGAACAAATTATTCCCTTGCTAGATTGTTTCTCCAATCATTTTGGGGGTGTAGTATCTCATTAAATCCTAACAACCTTGTAAAATGAGGCATCAAGGTCCCTATTATATAGAGGAAGTCTTTGAATTGAAGAGATGCAGCTTGTCCAAGAACAAATAGTTGTTGGTTATAGAGCTAGGCCTTCTGAGTTCCAGAAACATCCGTTATGACATCTTTATCAAAACAGATTTTATCAAAGAACTTCTTAGGTTGGTTTTGCAAATTATAGGAGACACAAAGATGGAATGGACAGAGGTTTGTTTTAAGGTGCTCATGATAGAATAGAGCTGTTCTTGGTTAATTTCTGTGTTTTTTAAAACATAATTTTCAAAGAAAGCTTTCTTATTCATTTGTCTGCTTAACAAGTAATTGTTGAATTATGGCAAGCTACCTCTGACTAATTTTCTAAGCCATAGTGCCCCTTCAGTTCATCATTGGTCTACCTTGCTATTTTTCTTCTTTGATTACTGATATGCTTTTTGAAGTATATGGGGTAAAGTTTTGATAATAGCTGTGGTATTATCCAAAGTACTCTTTAAGAATTTAATATATTTGGTAAATGTTTTTTCATATCAGTGTTAAAATAGTAATGTTATTTATAACCTTTTTTATACATAGCAATCGTAAAGAGGAAAAGGAATCTAAAATTTCTTCTCAAAATTCTCTAAATCCTTCTCCAGGTAAGAGTTCGGATAGTGAATTACTCTTGGTGGTCCTACCATAGATAAAGTAAGAATAAGGGAATTTTGATAATGAAAGAGCAAAGAAGAAAAACTATGTAAATTGCATATATATTTTTTCTTTATTTATTTCTTGATAGTCCAATATTCAGAATTATTTAAGAAGCTAATTGTCGGTAATTTAAAATCAGAGACAGTATTGTCTAAAAAGAAATTTATTTATTTAGTCATGACCCCTAAGATCTTATATAACTTTGTATAAATAAGAAAAAAGCTTTTTAAGTTAATATGTTCTATGTTTACTCTATAATCACATTATAACAAATTGGACTTGTTATAATAAAATAAAAAATAATGGTAAGAAATAATTAAATAAAAATGGACTTTTTATTTAAGTTTTACAGCAAATGGATTATGTTTAGTAAAATGAATGTTTCTTACTAAATAGTGATTGTCTCACTAAAAAAAAATAGTCTTTAAGACTGGGAACTCAGCAATGCCCTCTTGGAACCATACATAAATGACAGGCAGTAAGAACTGCAGAACTTTACTGGTGTGCAGCAATACCAGTGAGACTGGCTCTTAGAAGACACCTGCTGGTAGTCCAGGAGTCAGAAAAGCAATGCCTCATTGAGAAACACAGGTTACTTTCCATATGGTTACACCAACAAGGTCTCACTGTTATCAACTTCATTCCTCGTAAGTCAAAACAGAATGAGATGTGTTGACTGCATTAGAACAGATGTTTCCTCCTGTTTGCAGGACAGTTGTCCTGAAACTGTTAGAACAAGATGCTCTGTTGTCACTAGTCAAAAGTTTACCATAATAAATATTCCAATGGCCCAACTTGGTTCTCAGCATATTATAATAAAAGTACAAAAATGTTTCACAATAGCAAAAACCCTGCATGCTCCCTAGGTGTGTTACCTTGTCCATTGTATACTCTGTACTGAATGATGATGCCTTCAGCTTAGCAGACTTTATCTAAGAACATCTTAGGTTGGTTTTGCAAATTATAGGAGACACAAATATGGAATGGACAGAGATTTGTTTTAAGTTGCTCATGATAGAATAGAGCTGTCCTTGGTTAATTTCTGTGTTTTTTAAACAGAATTTTCAAAGAAAACTTATTTATTCAATTGTCTGCTTAACAAATAATTGTCAAGTGTCTTTTAGGTACTAAGTGGTATTCTGAATGTTGGAGAAGATAAACATTTAAAAAACACAGTCCCCACCCTCCAGGAACTTTTTATTATCTTTGTAATTTTTATTATTTACTGTACTTTATTCAGTGCTTACACTGTGCCAGAGCCCACTAGGAACTTACAGTGAACATTATTTATCATTTTGTATTGGTGTTTGCTATGTGCCAGACACTTTAAATCCATGGGAGGAATTGGAGTTTTTAAAAAGTGGGTAGGATTTAAGGTAAGCATGCAGAGTGAGTAGAAGCTTGATGGGTAGAGGCAAAGAGATGATATTTGTCAGGAAGAACAGAAAGATTACTTGTTTGACAAAAGGAACAGCTGTGCAGAGGCTAAGATACTGCATAGATTTTTACAGGATTTATGAGCAGTGCAATTTTGCTGGCACAAAAAGTATGCTATGGGAGTGGCTGGGAATGAGGTGATAGCTAGCTGGGGCACTTGTGAAAGCACATCATACAGTATTGTAGAAAGGAATAGGTCTTCTGTAGGCCTTGGGAAATCTATTAGGTAGAATGCTTTTAGCTGCAAATAATACATAGGACCTAATTAACATTGGCTAAAATAATAGGAACCAGGATTGTTTTGTCGGTCAGTGATGTCTTCGGGGTCCCAGTTGTCCCTCTTTTAGCTCTGAAGTTGGCAGTATTTTATGTCTGCTTTCCTGGTTACCTAATTAGGAATGACTCCAAGCATCATATTCTCACATGACAGCATCCAAAAGCTAGAAGGATTACCTTTCTTTACATGTTTCTTTTAAATACAAAGAAAACTCAGGCTGAGTTCTCCTAACATTTTATAGACTGAGTTACATCTCATGCTCATTTCTAAACTGGTCTCTGGTAAACCCATTACTGCGATTAGCTTAGAATAATCATTTCTCTTGTTGGGGCTAGGGAGAGGCTACCTTTGTGTATTGGGACAATAAATATCCAAAGAATGTTGTTGGTTCTCCAGCAAGAATGAAAAATAACAAATGGCTGTCAAGGAGGAAGCCAGCAATATTTGCTGCAGGGGTTCATTGGAGAATTTTGAGCAGGAGAGTACAATGATTAGATTCGAGTATTATCGCCCTCTGGTTGTGGCATTATGCAGGCAGTACCAACCTTTTTGTGTAAAGAGCAGGGCAGTGAATGTTTTAGACCATGTGCTTTCTGTCAACATTTATTAACTGTGCCATTGTAGTTCAAAGGCAGTCTTAGACAAGACTTAGTGAATAATAAGTATGACTGCTCCAGTAAGACTGTTTACAAAACCAGATGGCAGATTGGATTTGGCTTGTGGGCCATAGTTTGCTGACCCTTCTTATAAAGGACAGATAGAAGGAAACCACAGAAAGAGACTGAGATGAAGGAAGCTGTTGTTTCCTTGGACTTGTATCAGTCCATTACGAAGTGTTCACCCATCCATGCTGAAATAAACACAGTCAGAGTGCTCAGTTTATTAAATTTAAAATGATCTTTTCTAGGCCTTTTGTCTTTCTCATTTGTTTTGCTTAAAATTTTTTATTCATTTAAGCAGTAACAATAATAGTTGGTGGCTTTTTTTTTCCTGTGAAAGCCGTTGATTAAGAGCCTATGTTTGACTGGGGCACTGGGGCAGTGGCAGTGGAGATACAAAGCAGAGACAGAGAAGAGGTGAATTTAACAAGACTTGATGGTTATTGAATGTAAAAAGTTAGGGAACAGAGAAAAATCTATGATGACTCGTGGGATTCCAGCTTGTGGGGGCATGTAAATTGTACATGATGGGTGAACAGAGATGGGCAGTGGGTCAGCAGAAAAGACCAGTTTTTTTCTGTACACGTTGAGTTTGATGGAATACCAATGTAAGATATTTTCAGTAATTGGATAATTGAATAATAGGAGTTTGTGGCTAGAGAGCTCCAGGGTTGGAGATGCAGATTTGAAATAATCTGATTATAGTTATTCAGTCATAGATCCCGATGAGCTTGTTTGTGATGGAGAACATGTAGAATGAGAAGGCCAGTGATAAAACCCTGGGAATATCAACACTGAAGGGGTGAGAAGAGGGAGAGTTAGTAAAGAGACAAGTAGGAGAGGAGATGGATCCAGATAGATTCTCCATCAGTGGAAGGAGAAAGTCTTAAGAGGTGATACTATATAAAACTGGAATCACTAAGTCTTTCATACTTGTCTTGTAATTGGTAAGAGGGACAAAGGGAGTCTGTTTCCTATGCTTTGCCATGCAAGCAAATTGCAGTGCCTGTAGCCCAAGCTTCCTTGTGGTGGGGGTTTTGTCCTAAATTGAGCAATATCAACTGAAGAGCTGGGAAAGCTGTGTTGTGTTTCAGCAAAATAAGTATATTCTCTTCTCACTGCACCTAGTGATAAAGTCCAGAAAAGTCATGCTCTTCAATTTGGACATTGTCAGTTTATGATCCTGATTCTGCTGCTGATACCATTTTTTGGTCTGTCTCATAGAGTTTAGGTAGGATGGTCACTGTGAACAGCAGTTCACTTGTAGCTATCAAATTTTGATAAATATTCAGGAAGGGAAATAAGAGTTCTTAATGCATTAATTGCCTACCAATAGTAAAATTAATATTCATTCCAGTATAGTCTCCTGGTATGTTCCCAAAGGAATACTTTTTTAACAAAGCATTAGTTTTACACTTTTAATATTCTCTATTTTTCTATTGCTGACTTAAATTTTATTTTTTGTGTCTTTTAGGGGCAGAGAGTTCTGGAGAAGACTCTTTAAACAGGTTGGTTCTTATAGTTTTTTAAAAGTTGTATGTTAACTGAGAGAAATCAGAGGAAAGAAACTAACATTTGATGAGTGTCCTAATTTGGGTCCCGCAGTATTATGTGCTTAACACTTGTTATCTCACCTAACTGTAGCTGTGCTGTTATAGCCTACCTTTTATTAATTAGGCAACTGGTTCACGTTGGTTGGTTAACTCCAACCAACTTTGCAAAGTAGCTGTGCTGTTATAGCCTACTTTTTATTAATTAGGCAACTGGTTCAGGTTGGTTGATTAACTCCCATTATTCCATAGTTAATGAATCACTGACCTATGATTGAACTGTCAGTTTGCCCAGCTCCCAGGTCCATTCTCCTGTCTCAGTGTAGATTGATAGGTGTCTGTGCAGCAGTGGACCAAAATAAAGGTCCCAATCAAATCAACTCAGAAAGTCAAATTTGACTAAGTGTTAACTCTGATGTGGAGTTTTCTTATGAAGCCCGGTTAGTCCAAGCATTTGTCCTAACATATTTGACAGTTGCAGTGGTAACTAGTACCTTGTTTTTACTACCATCAAAGGTTTAGGTTAGATCTCAATTGGCTATGGCCACAGAGCCATAGGTGTTATATAAGCAAGACCTAATTAGGCATGTCTTCTTGAGATGAATTCTTTTTCTGTAAGTGAAGAATATCTATGAATAGACCATGTTATGTTGATGAAATTTAGCATCTATTTAGAAGCAATTTCTAAAAGATTTCTCTGTGTACTGTCTTCCAAGTCTAGTTTTCCTTTCCTATTATTACCCTTACCTAGTTTTGTGAAGTTTTTTCCTTTACTTTTCTTTTCTTAGAGACTTTTTTTCTTCCATGATTTTGCTGTAATCTTCTGTTGATTTTTTTTACCTTCTCTTCTCATGTTCTTTCTTTTGTTCTATTATTTTTCAAACTTCTGCCAGCTAAGTATTCTCCATTTTTCTGTAGACAAAAAATCAAAAGCAGAAAGAATTTTAGGATTTTAAAGATTCTTAGAGATTGATTAATCAAAACAGCGTCCAGAACTTCAATCTGTGTTTAACATCCTGGCCAAGTTGTTCAAATGGAGAATTTGAAACCCAAAGAGAGTAAAGTAATTAATTAATTATTTATCTGGATATTGTTAGTGTCAGAAATGAGATTTAAATTCAGGTTCCTTCCTTTTTTTATGATCCTGTTGGTCTGTTGGTAAATGTTTTCATAATAGAAAGGTGGGGAATAGGTTTAGTGAACACAGTGAAAGAGGCTAAGAATGAATTTGTAGAGGAGATCATGTTTCAAGAGGAACAACACTGGTTTGGATAGAAATAAGGGTTTTAGAGAAAAGATCAGAGTTTGGGGGGTTTATGATGATGGTTAGATAAAGCTAAATTACAGAAATGAGGGACACAGAGTGTTGGGTGTTGTCTAGAAAGTAATTTTAAATAGAAGGGTAAAGGGAGTCCTGAGCAGGTTGCTGCTTTTTTGTTTATTTCATTGAAGGTACTAGCCTACTTTGGGGTTTCTATTGAAAGATGAAAAAGTCATTTAAAGCTTTCTTAAAACAGAGGCCAAATTTTAATTATATCAAAATCTTCATTGAATAGATAGCCAACTTTTCACTCTTTTTTTTTTAAGAAATGAACTCACTCATTTTTGTTACATATTTTTACTCTAAAGGCTTTCCAACAAACCTGGCATTGATGATTCATGGCCTGCATCAGATGATGAAGACTTAGAAGTTGATACCAAGGTAAAATGCTCTCTAGTGAAATTAATTTTCCTGTATTTGTATAGTGTTTACTCTTAAAATTTAGCAGTGGTCTGCCAATCATCATTGTGTGCTTGTAACAGAAAGTTGGTCAGAGCAAACAATTTTATAGAAATACTACTGCTTGAATTTTTTTTTTTTTTACTGTGGTAAATACTGAAGGTGGGGGCTGAGGAGAAAAATGGGCTAGAAAATATATAGTGATAGGAAAATTATATTGGGAAAGCTCTCGTACAATGGAGAAAATAGGAAATTTGGTCAAGGATAAAGATTCCTACTGTAACTTTTAAATCATCCTAATATGACTTTTATAATACTCATGCTGAAAGGAATTCTTTAATGGATCCAATTACCTATCATAATAATCATGGATTCTTCCTGGTGGCTTTCAGTTTGAAAACCATATAGCATATATCACATAGGTTTTTTTTTTTGGACACTTTTTATCTTGGTATATACAGCTATAAAGAGTTTTTTTCTGTATTTCTATCCTTGCTTCTGCATTTGGACTAAAATAATATTAAAAATTGTGGAAATTTAGATATTTAAATCATCTTTCTCAAAATTAAAATTACAAAGGGATTCAACTGTTTTATCAATATCATTTCATTAGGAAATTGAAACTCTTGACCTAATTGAAGGATACGTGTTTCACCTAAAATAATAACCAGCTTTAAGGTAGAGATTCTTAATAGCCATATGGTAAAACTTGCAATTTCAAAGACTTTTTATTTTATAGCTTTTAAAGCTACCTACTCAAAGTCCCTATATCACATTTTAATATTTCAAACTAAGGGATTTTTAAAGATTATAGTTATTTAAATGTTCATTTTAAAGCCCTTGCCTCACTACTGGAGGCTAGGAAACATAATTGTGCAATTTCCTGGATCACCTTGATTAAGGTCTGGCATGGTAGTAGCAGTTTAACATTTTTTTAGTGTGCATAAATGGAAAATGGAATTCTGTACAATGGATATTACAAGTAATTTGCGTAGTAATCATAATTAAATGAATTTGAATTTCTAAATATATGGCCTAAATTTATATTCCCTTTTAATGTTTAGGATGTATAAGTTCAATTGAGTTTTGTTGTAGAAATGTAATTCAGGGAAGAGGAAATCCCAGGGCAAAATATCTAGCTGAAACTGAAATGAGTAAAAGAAAAATAAAGTATAAAGTCTGTTTATTGCTTACAAACTGCTTTCCAGGGGCAGCTCTTCCTCTCAGGTTCAGATAAGCCCTCAGTTGCCCAGATAATTAGATCACTGATATGGAGATGAACTACTGCTTTCCACCCCTTAGGAACGCCTGTTGATATGGAGATACACTAAAACCAGGCAAGAGATTCTGAAATATTACAATTTTACCCGCAGGCCACCCCTCTAGAAATCTCACTTTACAACTTACTCTTTCCCCCTCTTCCACAATTGTCCCTGGGGGAGAAAACTGGAGCATTGTGACCAAACTAATGATATACAATATCAACAGCAATAAAATCATGACAATCCTCAAGCCAGAGGATTAAGCTAGGTTCAAAGTCCTATGCAGATTAATTCTATAGCTCACTGGTTCCAGCAGACAGGCAGTAGCTGAAGAGATAGTGATGCTGGGGTTCTTGTTTGCAGACTTGAAGAATGAACTTAGTAAACACCCAAGGTAGGAGAGCCAGGGAGAGGTTTTTATTGAGAGATACAGTGAGAGGACAAGAGAGCCCATAGTGGTGCATTGTCCAGGGGTTTTATAGGCAGTTGAGGATTTTTGGGAACTGATAAAGGGCGTAGGGGTGTGGACTTGTTAAAAGTGGTTTTAGGATGTTTGTCCTTGTTGAGACATTAAGTCCCTTTTAACACGCTAAACTGAATCTTACACAGGATTATAAATGATTGGCATAATAAAGACATGGGTTATGCTGAGATACTTTCCTTTATCTGGGGAACATTAACTGATGTCACTGAAGAATGACTCTAGAGCTTAATGTTAAATACAGAGTTTTGTTAGGGGGTTTCCTTGCATGTATACATTGCTCTGACTGTAAATATCCTGCCTTGCTTTTTCCAGAGGCCCTCATCCTACTCTGACTACACCCACAGTCCCTGTCTCAGTAGAGGGTTCACAGCAATCATCACATGGCAGCTGCAGCCAGGGGGCACATCCAGGCCACAGGGACTGTAGAAGAAAATAACCTTGAGAATGATAAACTATATGTTTTAATGACACTAGCATAGGTAAATCTTGTCCATCAGGTATGATACATGCAAGAGAGTGGTCCTGTGATAGAACAGTGGCAGGAATGGGATCTCTTCCTGGTCTAGTATACTAGACTTTGAACCCCTCTCTGTGGAGTTACACGTGTCAGTATTAGGGCTATGGGAGGTACATGCACTGGCCATAAAGATAAAAACCTCTCCATAAGATACTCTTTCCTCCTAGACATTTTGGGTACACTGCCATGATCTTTGGGGGCCACTCTTTTGTTACTCCAGGAATACACGTGAGGCCAGCTTCCAGGCCTTTTCCCCAAGGTGTCAGAAGGGACAGCTGTCACTGGTCCATGGGTTGAAATGTTTAGGGCCACATCCACTCAGCAGTGTCAACAGGGCTTATTGCAGGGGTTGTCAGCAGGTTGTTGCTCTGCTGGCCATATCCTGGCTTCAATAACCCCTTTTTGGTCTGCACATACAGTTGTATAGGAGAGGCAACAATGTGTGTTAGAACATCCATAGGGCTCAAGGCTCCTCTTTGGGGCTTCTCATTCAATAACACTGTAGCACTGTCCATAAATGAACTGAACAGCCCCGTAGAATATTGGTGTCCAACTTCAGGACAGATTTCAACAAACTGTTGTACCTATCATGCCTGCCCCAGAGAGTTATATGGTACATGATATTTCCACTTTATTTCTAATTGCTGCAATTATTCTTGTAGCGCATGTCAGTAAAGTGGGTGCCTTGATTGCCATAGGCTGCAAAGAGATGCTCCAGGCCTGTCTTGGTGGTTTGCTGATCTGCATGATGTGCAGGAAAAGCAACCAATAGTCCAGTAGCCATGTTCAGACAAGTCATGGCATACTGATATCCTTCTGATATGGGCACAGGCCCAATGGACACAGCCACCTGACAAGGGGTATTGGCCCCTTTACTATTGTCCCATGTTGCTGCAGGACTCAGTGTTAAGTCCCTCTTAGAGCACACAAGGAACTCCTTCCGGATTGTTGACTTCTTCAGAGGTCACTGGCAAGCCCCACTATTGGGCTATGGCCCACATTGTCTTTTGCCCTGTGTGCAACAACGCTTATGTAACCATTGGGATACATAAGAGGCAGGCTTTCCTTCTAGTCAGTGCACCTGGGCCAATATGTCTACTTCATCATCCCTGAGGATGCCAAAGGCAAATGGCGAGTCACATGATATACAGTAACAGTCTTAGTCTGACCAAAGGCCCATAGTTCTTTCCAGAACTCTTGCCTCTGGAAGTTGGCATGCTACTGTGTTGGTAGCCACAGGGTCAGGCCCTGACAGATGGCCCAGCTGTCAGTGCAGACAGCTATAGGGGAGTGCTCCTGGGTGATCATGAGCCATTCTGTCTGCAAGAAGGCCATTGGCTCTTCTTCCCCTCCCCATCCTCCATCCATATTGTCTTGGTCTTAGGATGGAAAGCCCAGCCCTCCACATCCGGGAGTGCCCACGACTGGAGCCGTCTGTATACCATGTATCTTCAGGTATAGGGGCTTTTCCCTCCTGATAAGGACTCTCGGCCGCCATTGGCTCAAAAGCATGTTCTTTCTGCTTTCCACTGGTGTATGTTACTGGCCCCAGTAAGCATTGGAGTTCTCCACTTGAGGGGATAGTGGAGAGGGCAGTACACTGCTCTAAATATGCACCCCATTTGGCCAGTGTAGGTGTCTGTGCCACACCAGTCCATGGCCTTTGGATCTTGCACCCACCCTGCAATGAGATAGTTGGTTATTATTTTGGTTGGAGGTGTTCCGTGATGGGCTCTGTAGCAGCAAGGTGTGGTACACAGCAGCTAGTTGCTTCTCTGTCAAGGTACCGGACTCTGCTCCTTTCCATAGTTGTGACCAGAATCCAATGGGTTGGCATGTCTGTTCAAGCTGCTGCCAAAGACTCCATCCATAACTGTCTTTGGTTACATGAACATCTAGCTCACAGGGCCTTGATGAGTCCATTATACTCAAGGCCTGTACAGTCTTGACTGCTGGCTTAGCAGCAGTAAAAGCAGGTGCATATGTCTCGTCCCAGTCCCATCTGATGCCCTTTCGTACCAGCGGTATAAGGGCTTCAGAATTTGTGTCAAGTGTGAGATAAACACTCTCCAGTAGTCCCAAAGACCCTAAAACTCTTGTAATACTGTCACAGTGGTAGGTATAGGGAAAGTCTGGATCTTGTCTATGACTACTTCAGGAATAACTTTTGTTTTACCCAACCAGACAACCCCCAAGAATTTTACAAACCAGGTCCCTGAACCTTGGTGCTGTTCTCAGCCCATCCTTCCTCCTGCAGATGTTGCAACAGTGTAGGAACTGCCTCTTCTAAACCTGCAAGAGAATCCAATGTGAGCATAATATCATCAATGTAGTGATACAGCCTCACCGTTTGTGGTTTCTTCCATGTGACCAAGTTCTGGGCTATAGTTCATGACAGATGGTGGGACTGTGGAGGTATCCCTGTGGAAGGACAGTGAATGTCCACTGCTGGCCTTCTCACATGAAGGCAAACTGTTCCTGACTTTTCCTGTGCAATGTCAATAGAGAAGAAAGGCTTAGCAATAGCCACAATATAATGATACATTCCTAGTTGATGGCTTGAGTGTGTCCAGAATGGCTGCTATAGAGGGGAAAGCAGCATGTAAAGGGGGTGTGACTTCAATCAATTCCCTGTAGTCAACTGTCCTATGCCAGGAGCTGTCTGGCATTTTCACTGCCACACTGGGGAATTTAAAGGACTGTTGAGTGGACTTTATGA